GCTATATAGGACGATGTCCTTGGCTACGAGGTCATGGGCAATATCCAACCCGACTAGTGCTGCTTTGTACTCTGCTTTGTTGTTTGTGGCGCTGAACCCGCACCGGATTGTTCTGTGTGCCACATCTCCTTCCGGGGAGATGAGTACCACACCTAACCCTGCTCCCCGGAAATTGCTGGCCCCGTCGACGAATAGCTTCTAGGGAAAACCGTCTCCACCTGTGCGCAGGCGTCGTCGTCCACAAGTGGTTGTGTGAAGTCGGCTATGAAATCTGCGAGGGCTTGCGATTTGATTGCAGTGCGCGCGACGTACTGGATGTCGAATTATCCCAGCTCGATGGCCTATTTCACCAGCCTGCCCGAGAATTCGGGTTTGCTCAGCACGTTTTTAAGTGGTGATGCGGTGACGACGTGGATGTGGTGGGATTGGAAGTATGGGCGGAGCTTCATGCTGAATAGCACGAGTCCGAGGGCCAGCATTTCTAGCTTTGAGTAGCGCGTCTCGGCATCGAGTAGGGTGTGGCTCGTGTAGTACACCGGGAGCTATTTGCCCCTGACTTCGCGGGCTAGCACCGAGGACGCTGCGCCGCCCGAGACTGCTAGGTACAATAGCAGAGGCTCTCCGTTCACTGGCTTTGATAAAACCGGGGCGGTTGTGAGGTAGTCTTTTAGGTTCTGCAGTGCTTCCCCGCATTCCGTCGTCCATTCGAAGGGCCCCAACTTCCGCATTTGCAGAAAGAAGAGATGTGCTTTATCGGAGAGCCGGGAGATGAATCGACTGAGGGTGACTATTCGGCCGGCCAGTCGTTGTACCTCTTTAATGTTCCTCTGTGGCTCGAGCTCTTGGATGGAACGGATTTAATCCGGGTTAGCCTCGATGCCTCGTCTAGTTACGATGTAGCCCAAGAACTTCCTGGAGGCCACGCCAAATGTGCACTTGGCCGAGTTAAGTTTTATATCATACTCGCAAAGCGTCTTGAAGCAGTTGTTCAAGTGCTCCAAATGCAGGTCTCGGCTGAGGGATTTGACGATCTTGTCATCGACATAGACCTCCATCATTTTTCGTATTTCCTCGGCGAACATTTTGTTCATGAGGCGCTGGTACGTCGATCCCGCATTCTTGAACCCGAACGGCATCATGGTATTACCTTGGGGAGTGACAAATGCTGCTTTTTCCTCGTCTGATGGGTGCATGCGGATTTGATTGTACCCGGAGCATGCGTCCATGAAGCTTAGTAGCTCATGCCCGGCAGTGGCGTCCACGTGATTGTCAATGTGGGGGAGTGGGAAGGAATCATTGGGGCAAGCTTTATTGAGGTTCGAGTAGTCGATGCAGATTCACCATTTCCCTTTTTCTTTTTGACAATGACGACGTTGGCCAGCCATTCTGGGTATTGCACTTCCCGCATGAACCCCACTTAGAGGAGCTTCTGGACCTCTTCGCTGATCACCGCGTCGTGTTCCGCCCCGAACTTTTGGCGCTTTTGCTTGACAGGGATGTAGTCTGGGTGGACATCCAGGTGATGGGAAATGGTTCGGCGCTTATTCTCGGCATGTCGGCGTGTGTCCAGGCGAAGCAATCCAAGTTTGCCCGGAGTAGTGAGATAACAGCGGCGCGTAGCTTCTGCCTGGGTTGTCGCTTGAGGTGAGGATTTCTCCGACCTCTTCCTCTGCTGCCGGAGTGGTTGGGGTCTCGTCGCCGCACTGTAATTGCTATTGGATGGTGTGGGTGGATGGGTCATCCGTAGGGGCGTTGCTGACTTTGCTGCCCTTGATCTCCACCATGCCACCTGCCGTGAGGAACCGGAGGGATTGGTGGTACGTCGAGGGGATGGCGGCCATCGCGTTATTCCAGAGCTTCCCCATGATGGTGTTATGCGTCGAAGGTGTCCCAGAAACTAGGAAGGTCGTTTCTTTGGTTATTGGTTCGGCGGTTACCGGGAGTGTGATTTCTCCTAGTGACCTCGTGGCCTCTCCGTTGAACCCTACCATGATGACGTACCGGGGAGAGAGGTCCAAGATTCGTATCCCCATTCGGTTTAGGGTGTCCGTGAAGAGCACATTTCTAGTGCTTCCAGTGTCGACTAGAAGTCGCTTGACTTGGAATCTTGAGATGTCGAGCGAGATTACAAGTGATCTGTCGTGGATCGAGGTTGTGAAGGCTGTGGTGGAGGTTGGGAATTGTATTTCCCGTCTAGCCGCTTTCTCAGCGAGGGCTCATTAGTCGGGTCGGGCCTGCCCTCGGGTTCCCGGGACGAGATCCAAAAGATCAGCGGCTGGCTGGGGATGGAGGTCCGCGATGGCGTTGATCATTTTGCGAGTCTCTGAGGACTTTTCTGCAGCTTCGCCCTTCTTTTGTTCCAAAAGACGTGCCTGGGCTTTTTCGGAGAGCAGGTGGGTGAGTAGCCCTTTGTCTATAAGCTCCAAGATTTCCTTCTTTAGGGCGTAGCACTCTTCGGTGGCATGCTCCTTGTCTTTTTGGAACTCGTAGTAGTCGAGGTGCTCCCGTGAGGGGTCTTCCGGGAGCCTCTTTCTGGGTGGAGGTCATTTAACGACGGGCCCGGTGGTCTTCAGGGCTTCGATCATCACCATTGGGATGGCGTCGATCTCGAGTTTGTCGAACGCCATCTCGATCTGGATCGCATCACCTGACGCTTGGTTGGAAGATTCCACCTGCCCCCGGAGACTTTTAGGGTCGTGGCTCCGGAGTATCCGCCCGACGCCCTAACAGTGTAGCCACCTCGTTTGTTCGAATGCCCCCCCAGAGGGCTCCTCACGGTCCCTTCGCTGTCCCTGGGGGCGTGGTGCCGTGGAAAGGATGTGGTCCGGGTCGCTTTTCCATCGGATCTGTCTATGCGCGTAGTTCAAGACATCCTCTATGGTGGAGCACTCGTTCTTGGTCAGGTCCTCGTAGAGTCCGGAGTCCTTCAGGAGTCCCTTACTGAAGGCGTGGACTGCCGTGATCTCATGGCAGCCAGATATTTCTACCATGACGACGTTGAAACGGGTCACGTAGGATTGGATTGACTCCTCCGTCCTCTGGCTCACATCGAACACGTGGCCCATGCCCTGGGCTGGTTTCCGGCTGCTGGCGAACTGCTGGACGAACAGGTTGTGCAGCTGTGCGAATGAGTCTATCGTCTTGTTGGGGATGCTGATCAGCCACTGCAGGGCGGCTCCCGAGAGTGTCGCCCCGAACCCCTTGCACAGACATGCTTCCCTGATATACGCCGGTGGTGACGCGGAGAACATTCTCTTTTTGTACTGGGCTCTGTGATCCTCGGGGTCGGTGGTCCCCTCGTAAGGCTTCATCGTAGGGTACCAAATTTCTTGGATATTTCGATGTTGGCGATTTCTTCCGAGAAAGGAGAGTTGTTATATGACTCCTTCGTTATCTGGGTCACCCGCGGGGGCAGCCCTGAGATCATCGACAGCCGGGTGTTGATATTCGCTATGTGTTCTGCCATACTCTGGGCGATGAGCCGGTCCAAGTCCATCTGTCCTGAGGCCCGATTCGCGGTGTCGTCCGAGGTTCGGTGGCCTCCGACTTTGTCCAGGTGGGCGGAGTGGTCCGCCTCCGTGGTTCTGTGTGCAGCCGGCATCGCATCGTCGTCCGCCAAGGGGAATCTCACAAACAGTCCTCTGCATTCAGGACAGGGGCGGAGCGGCGCATTCCGGCCTACCGAGGTCGTCGGGCCGTCGGCGTCCAAGGACCTTGTGGTGGCGTGACCTGGAGGTGTGCTCGCTCGCCTGGCCTGCTGTTCTAACTGGTGGTTCTGCTCCGTGTGTCGTTCGAGATCAGCTCGGAGGCAGCAGATGTCCTCGTAGTCGAGCATCTGTCAAAACGTCAGGGCTGGAGGGGCCATCGTGGGGTGCTGACTGGTGGTACCCCGTGCGTAGTCCCCTCGGATGCCTTGTTCCGGCGGGCTTGGTGAATCACTTCCTTCATTTGACATTAGACTTGTTCATCCCCTCCTTATAGCGCAAACTGTTCAGGAGAAAATTTTGGGATGCCACGTGGAGGGATCTGATTGGTCGTCGGGTATTGCAGGGGAAATTTGAACTCTGGGGGGATGGGCTAGCCTGCAATGTCACGGGAAGGGAAACAGAGGACACATGTAACAGGAAAGGGGTTGCCCTTCCGATTACGCTCTGACGCTCTAGTTAGAATAAAGGACACGAGACTGGACAGAACGAGTTTATCTTTATCGGAAAGACGGGATATCGGGCGGTTTGTAGGGATCTCGACAAAACTTTTGGAATTATGATAAGATATTCAAAGTGAAGCTAGAAGATGAATTGATTGTCCTAGATGTCTCCCCCCTCGGCTGTTGAGAGGAGTTGGTTTTTATTGGAAATACCTGGTTCCGAGTTGCTCTCGAGTTCGGGTTTTCAGGCTCTCCGGATCGAGTACTAACATACGTCTTTTTTTATCATTATGACCATTCCCGGACTCTTTCTTGCGTGTGGCCAGAGGAATTGGTTGCCGACCTGCTCCGTCCTATCCTAACTGTCATCATTACGGTCTTCTTTGGTAGGTGCGACACATTTAATGCACCTCAGATTCTTGTAACGTCAATTGTTCACGCGTTGGATCCTCGTTAGCCGTATGCGAATTTTGCGGCCCAATAATTATATTATATAATTTTAAAATTATATTAAAATTTAATAAATAATAATTATTTCTTGCGGATACGGGTTATTACCTATTAATAGTTAAGATCTCACTAAACCTATTAGATATCTTTAAAATCCACCTAAATCTCATGAAATATAAAAATTCACCAAATTTTTTGAAATTCCTAATCTAATACACCTCTCTATATGTTATGTTTTATTAAAAATATAAACTCTACTTACAATTTCTTTTATGATTGAATTCTATTATTGGAGCAGAAAAAAAAAATATCTTAACAAAAGTTCTTATTTTAAATTTTATAAATATTAAATAAAAACTCTATTAGGAGTTCTTGCACTAAAGTGCCTTGAAACATAATAAATTCTAATTTCCATACAGAGTTTGCCACGTGGCAGAACCACGTAAACATCGCTAAACTTCTCAACCAACGCGCTAGGATGCAAGGACGATAAAATTTAATCGCTGATATTGCTTTTTAATATAATTTTCGGTATAATTGATCTCTGGAGATTGTTGACGAAGAACCAGAATTGTACTGCAATGGCATACGTTGAAGGAGGTAAGAGAACTCACAGATCTCTCAGATTCTTTTCGGTTTCTGGAATTCGTTTTTCTTTTGGAAACGAATTGGGTTTTAGGTCTGATTGTTCATCTTTAGTCCTCAAATTAACGTGTCACAAGTTTCAATACCATTCTTATCGTTTCCTCGAAACGGATTCTGGATTTATAACCTTTTATCCGTTGATTTCTACTGAATTTCCGATTTAGGAAGTTGTATTTTTATTCATCCGAATTTAGATCGCTTTGGCCATCTCTGGCCTTTCCTTTGGTGGTTTATGAATCTTATGACTATTACTTGGTACCAGAATTTTGAATAGGGTTTCTAATTGCGTGTGATTGGGATTTTCCTCTGTTGTTCTGGTTTCGCATCTACAGAGAGTTCATAGGTTTATGGATGTAGAATTCAGCTCAGGGAATTATTACTCCGTAATTATAAATTTCTTGGAAAAAAACTATTTGGAATTGAAAGCTCGTAGAACATTCCTTAGCAGTGCGCGTTTGTAGACATGGACATCTAGGTTTACACGTTTGAGCAATTTTTATATGGGGAAAATTTAGTGAATGACATATTCTGGCTGAGAAATCATTAAGGTGGCATTCCTTTTAGAAACATAGAGTGAGGGAGATCATGTTCAATGGTTTGTGAATCATAGGAGCTCTGTCTCGGGGATAATATTTGATAAGGGGAAAAGTTAGAGAATGGGCAGATTCTGGCTGAGTCATCAATAAGCTGACGTTCTTGCTAGAAACATAGCATGCTCAATGGTTTGTGAGTCGTAGAAGTTCTGTCGCCGAGGGAGAATTTGATAAGGGGAAAAGTTATGGATCCGCAGATTCTAGCTGACATGCTTTTAAGAAACTTAGAGTAAGGGAGATCATATTCAATGGTTTGTGAATCATAGAAGTTCCATCTCCAAGAAAGAATTTGAGTAGGAGTGTCGAAAAGCATAGAATATTTAATACTATAATCTTTTACCACTGCATAGGTTAGTTGCTGGACTTTGGGAGGCGTTATCTTGAGTTTTTTTTGTGGTTTAAAGAAAATGTAAGAGCCTCTGTTAAAGGTCTTAAAAGGGTAGAGAAGAAAAATCACTCGATAAAAACTTCTCAAATTTGTATTTCTGTTCTTAAATCTTATCTGGATGTTATAGATCTCTTTTTGTCTTACAATGAATAGCTAGAGAAGAATCCTAAAAAACCACAGATTACTAGATCAATAGTGCAAGTATTAATCCTATGTGACACTTACAAACTTTGGAACATGTACCAGGTGTGGTCAAAGCGAAACGATCAATATGGAGACTAAGGACGATAAAAGATTTCTTCTGGTCCATCATTAATCTGATTCAAGTCTTCTTCATAACTATGTTCTCAGTAAGATTCTGCCTCTATTTTTCCGCTTAGCTTTAAATAAGCTGTCACGAGCAATGACTAACCCGAGAGCAAAACATTCTTTTAGATGGATAAATCAGATGCCTACAGGAAAGGCTCTGGGGCTAAGCAGTGGGATGGTGGCCGACCTGGTGGTGGTGGTGGCGGAGGTGGTGGCGGTGGGCGCCCTGGTCCTCCTCGTGGGGGACTCGACAATGTGCGTGGCTTGAATGATATACGTGGAGCTGATCACAGTAAGTAACCCGAGATGAGAGTGTGATAGTTCTTTTAACGATAGAAAACACTGCACATGCTATATTAATGATTCATGGGTTAATTTATAATTTGTTGGTAGTTTGATCTTGAAGTTGAATCTGAAGAATGGTAAATTTGAATTGTGGTTTTTCAGATTCTTTACCGGCATGTGGCTCGTGCTGTGGCTGAGCCTTGTTTGTGCGAGAGCGCCCAAGAATAAACGAAGTGACATATATATAGTGTTGAAATGATGCTTTTGTGTTTGAGAAAGCAATGAACCAAGATTATGGTGTATTTTGTAATTGCTTCTAACCAAGCTATTTGTATTTAGACACTGCGTACATTTGAAATTGGAAGCTCACCTTAATAGTTCGTAACTTACCTCCAACACAATTAAATATTTGGGAAGCAAAAAAATTGATATGATCATAGGGTCAACCTCATCCGGTTTACATCCAGACTTATAGCTTTCTCTAGTTTTGAAAAATTAACATCATCATTTTAATTTTGGTGTTAGGTGTTTGTTTGTTGTGATTAACATAGTAAGGCAGAACCAGATGCCGGAGTTTGCTTTTGTCTGTCTATTCTTCATGTGCAAATTCAATGATGATGGAGATTGAGATTCAGTAGGAATAAGCAAATCATATAAAATGTTTTTAGTAGAAGTTGGGGTTACAAAACCTAATGCAGGCCAATCTTTTTTTTTTTTTGTTAAATTTTCTAACAAGATTTATGAATACTCAGAAGAGTCTTAAGCAAACTGAGTGGCAAACAATGGTGACTGCTAAGAAAGAAATCAAAAGATGTTTTTATTTTGGTTCAAACTGATGGAATCAAAAGATGTTAAGAAATTGAAATAGTGGTGTAATCACAGTTTAATAGAGATAGGGAGAACTCTAAGGATTAAAAGTAAGCAAAGATTGGACCACCAATTAAAGCAAAGAAAATGTTAAATAAACAATAGTTTCATTTTTTAGCACGATTTTTGAAACTTTCATATTTCCGTTGGTCGCTCTCCTGTGTCTTAAGTTACTAACTTTTTCTTTTCCCAAACTAGAAAGTTGACTAAAGAAACCACTTCGGGGCCTGGGAATACCGCGGTTCCGCCCTCGACTAGCATGTCGGAGGGTCCATCTTTTCCCTACCGGTAAGTCGTCTCAACCCTCGGAAAGATCCAGACCACCAAGAATCCTTATACTTTCAACCCGCTTTCAGTTCAAGACTACCGTTCCTATAATCCTTTTCATCTTCTCTTAAGAAATTTTTGAATCTCCATCTTCCAACGTCCTCTTTCACCATAAACAACCGCTGTTCTCGACTCCGTGTCCTCTCGACCTCATTTCCACTACTCACCAACAACTTCTCACCACTAAGAACAGGACTCTACCAGAGTGCTAGTAAATAAACACTCCATTCAACGCCTTTGTCAACATGTCAATGCCTCAACTTGGTCCAAACAACCGTATCCCCCACTAAAACAAAGCTATTGTATAATGGCTCGACGTCTCTCCTACGCAGAGAAAGGCAAAGGGATAGCTACACCCCAAGAGGAACCACCACGACTCTGCATTCGAGCCCTAGAATTTGATACCTCAGATCTGGTCAAAGCAAACAGCCTCACCCTCATCGATAGGGTCACAAATGAGAAAGAACAACGCATCTGGTCCCTCATACCAGTCCTCTCCAAACGTTGGAGCCTGCAAGGCCGGGCCTCTGGCTCGGATCTAGGGAATGGATGCTTCCAGTTCCGTTTCGACTACCCTAAAGACCTACAACGGGTACTTGACAACAGACCATACCACTTCGGCAGCTGGATGATTATTCTTCAGAAATGGGAACCGGTGATTTCTCCTCACTTCCCATCACAAATACCATTCTGGATCCGCCTGTGAGGAATCCCCCTACATTACTGGAAAAAAGAACTGCTATGCAAGATAGCTGATGAGATTGGTGAACATGAAGACCATGAACTCACTGCAACTACAGTAAGAATAAGAGTAAGCGTCAATGGGCTCAAACCACTCATCAAAGAAACTGTTTTAGAGTTTGCAAATGGTGAGGAGACCATAATAACCTTTGAATACGAGAGGCTTGAGAAGCACTGCTCCATCTGCCTTATGCTAACGCATGAAAGGAACTCCTGCCCAAAAAGCCAAGACAGAGATTCAACAAGAGAACTAACCAGGAGATCACCAAAGGAAAGGCAGAGACTTACCTGTCCACGGGAAGAATCACCGACTACAGCAAAGCACCCGAAACCTCTGTTCCACGAAAGAACAGATCGACATGGTAGACCTTTTGGAGAAAGGATATCCACAAGACACGCGCTTTCAAGTGGAGCTTCAGACACACAAGCCAGGGGAAACATAAGCTACTACTCTACTCACAAGGATGCCTCCCGACAACTCACAAACCTTTCACAGCCATACCAACGTACAAGAGAGAGACCTCCCTTCACCTCTCTGGAAAGAAGCCAGCTCATCACCTCCAAGGAAACAAACGACAGCCACTACCACAGGAGACACAACTTATTTAATCATCCTGCACCAACCCTGCAGTGGAGGGAAAAGACAACGGACTCAAAAACCCCAACAGAAGTCAATTCCCGAGCTTCAAATACTCACAACACACTACTTACTGGCAATGGAGATGATACCAGCAACCAGGCCGGAAACCACCGCATCCCAACTACTGAGGAAGTCATGGAGGAGCTCCAAGAAGTCACGATTCAGTATATAAACTGCGGAGATCCAGTAGAAAGCGAAGCTTGACGTCAGAGGGTTTTGGAACATGAGACCCGAAACCTCATGGCAGATACCGCAGCGGATATTGTCGCTACTGCAACAAGAGAGATTGCCAATCCCCTGTTCGCTGTACCGACATCCTACTACCCTAACGACAACAACATGACAGCTGCTCCAGGGCCCAGTGTTGCTTCTCGATCGCCTGCTAAAAAGAGACGTGGAAGACCCCCTTCAAACAAGCTGGTAAAAAGAAGCCCGCTTGGGCTAGCAGGAACAAAAAACACTATAAGGAATCTTCTACGATACAAACCTCACCTATGAAAAGATCGGTTCCGGTTCAACAAGGCTCAAAAAAGCGGAAAACCAAAAGCTCGAAAACAACCACCCTTCCTACAAGCAAAGCACCTCCTCAGACCAAACTAATACCGGCGATTACAAAACATAACGCGGATTTTCACAAACCGCCAAGTCCGATTCTTTAAAAATTGTGAGCTGGAACTGTTGTGGTTTGGGGGACTCCACAACAGTTCCACGGCTCCAGGAGATAATGAGGAAAGTCTCACTGGATATTGTTTTTCTCTCTTAAACAAAAAACCCGGATACTACAGTGCTGGAAAAACTTGCTTGGATGGGCTTTGCATCAAACATTCTGATATCACTTCACAGCCCGGGGGGAGGGGGACTAGCACTATTATGGAGATAAGACATCCATATAGAGCTGCTACAATCCTGCCACAACTTCATCGATACACATATCAAAGCAAACGGAAAATCTTTCTTTGCAACCTTTGTCCATGGAGACCCTGATGCATCAAAAAGAAAGACAGTGTGGGAATCACTTACTTTGATAGGGGAAACACGTAACAATGCATGGTTTTTGACAAGAGATTACAATGATATTATAAACTCCTCAGAGAAAGTGGGAGGACCAAGCAGATCCGAGAGCTCCTTCTCAAACTTCAGGACATTCATGTCGGTATGTAATCTGTTTGATCTCCATCATACTGGGACTTCTTATCTTGGCGTGGAAAAAGACATAACCACCTGGTGCGATGCCGATTAAACATAACGATGTCAAACAGTGCGTGGGCAGATGATTATCCCTCCAGCAGCTGCGAATATTGCAACTACGAAGGCTCTGATCATAGGCCCATAGTCACCTGCTTTGACCTTCTCAAGAAAAAGAAAAAAGGATTATTTCGCTATGACAGACGACTCAAGGATAATGTAGAGGTAACAAAGCTATCTGCGAGGCTTGGAATCTGAGAGAGGCTGAGCAAGTGGAGCTAAAGCTCACAAGATGCAGAGCTGCAATCGTCAACTGGAGCCGAGAGAAACACCAGAACAGTCAAAAATAGATTGAAGAGCTCTGCCAAAAAATTGAGGAGGCAATGACAAGTACTGTGGTAACCCAACCCGGTAAACCATACCGCGGCTGTGTCCCACTGCATCCTCTATGTCTGTTTCTATACTTAGCCATATTTTTAAACTTTTTCTTCATTCTTATTCTTTCTTATCAATACACAGCGGAATATAAAGCAACTCATTTCATTCATTGAACTTCCATAAAATACTTAAACAGGATTCAGGGCTAACTTAAACAAATCACAATGGTTCGCTAATGAATACAAACGATCATCTAGCAACCTAAATAATCAAACACCAAAGCCATAAGACAAAGCACAACGTCTTAACATAAATAAAAACCAGTCCCGATCCATCCATATCCATCACTGCCGCCTGGTCTCGCCCCTTTACTGCTTAGTACCTACACACTCAAGAAGAGAGGCATAAGTATTTTATAAATACTTAGTGAGTACGGTCATCCCGTAATACCTGGTCAGTACCAAACACGCAATCATACTTTCGGATTCAACATTCAACACAAACAATTCGCAATAGACATAACAATATCAAACGGCCATGATCATCTAACTTAACCAACCAAGTTCAATCCCTTTTTAAGACCCATATCTACTTCAGCGAGAATCCCACATCCCCTAAGCTAGTACATGATCCGGATTACCCTGAGGTTAGCTAGACATCATCTATGCCACGGTAAACACTATAATATATCATAACATGAGAATTGCTTATCAGTTCTAAACACATAACATGAAAATCACACAATCAACATGCAAACATTCAACCCTAGCAATCCTACGGTCCTAGACACCAACCACAGTCACGCACTCACCTTAGACAAGGTTGGAAACAGATTGGTCAGAAGAAATCCCGATAAAAACCGCACCAAAACGAAGATATCCGATCTCCTTAAGAATCTCTCGGCTGTCCGTACTATCCGATCCTTATCCCCTCGACTATCTCTCGATCTGTTCACCTTTCTTCGAGCCAAACTCTATTTTCCCTCAGAAACCCTATAAAACAAGGCTAATAGCTCGAGGTTATCCGATGAAAACTTAACACTTAGGGAAATATCCGATCGCTTACCGATTTATCTCGGCGATGGTCGGATATACTCGGCGATAATCTGATCTCTCTCGGATGTCCTCAGGATAAACTGTTTTTCTTAGGGTTTTCTCTCGACTATTCTCTTTCTTTGCTTTATTGCTCTCTAATAAACACAACGCTCCCGAGAAAAGTCTCAAAATCCCTTAAATACTCGTAAAACCCTAGGTAACCCGGACTTATCCGACGTTTTCCTGGTTCCAGTAAGTTTTATCCCGGTCCGATTTGATTCTCTCGGCTATCCCTGTACCGG